AAAAAAAAAAAAAAAAAAAAAAAAAAAAAAAAAAAAAAAAAACACTTTACCTATTTTATCACCTCAAGTCAAATAGGTTTTGAAAACTACAAAACTCTTCAACCGAAATGCCGAACCGGACGCTCTATCCAAGCAGTGGACAGTAGTAGCCAACACAAGTCAGTACATCAGCTTTGATTATCAACATAAACAGGAAATGTGCACAAATGAAAAAAAAAGGAAAAAATAAAAGGGAAATATATCTTGGACAAAGACTCACCCTTCACAAACTTGTCATTGCTACCGGCATTAGCTTTCGATATAACACGCTCGTCGGCCCAAAATATATGCCATTTGGGCCAACGACATGTCCTGTTGTAAAGGGCTTCACATATCTTTTTGCACCAGAAACAAAATTCAGTGTCAATAAATTCATCCTATTGAGACTAAACAACAAAGCCAACAAAAGCACTATAGTACTTCAATTTGCATTAGCTTACCCCCATCAAGTTAATAAGCCACCGCATAAAGCAATGACAAAAAGAACATCTTGTTCTTTGATGCAAGACTCTGATATCTCATAAATATATTCGGCCAAATTGCTGCTAAGTACATCAACATTCTCAAAAAGCCGCAACTCTTTTACATCCATATTATACTCAAAAAGAGTCATGCTTCTATAAGGACTATACATTAAATTTAAAAGTAACACCCAGATAAATTATTACCTTTATGTGGCAGTCCCCGAAAAACCGCTGAGTTCGTTGCCAGCGGAAGCTCCCCTTCGGCCCCATCACCCATCAAGTTTTCTCCAAGGCGTTGCTCGTCACATGTGCCTCCCCGATAGCTCTCAAACAGCCCTAGGTTGAATCGAATGCTCCCATTATATGCCCGGTTAGATATTCAATCAACAACAAAGGGAACTTCAGACAATAGCAGGAAAGTAAAGGGAAAATTAAGTATGAACGAATGCTGGAACAATAGATAATGGACGAAAGAGTCGAAATCTTCCCGAGAAATGAAGACACGAAGTCTTCTCGCTCAGATCTTCTTCCACTTTGACACCCTCATGCGTGCCAATAGCAACAAGATTTATTTTCCTGCAGTAGTACAAAAACAAAATTTAAAAGGCAAAAATCAATAACACAAAACCATAAGAATACAGAAATACCATGTTTTAAGCATCATAGGTTTCTGATATAGTATCTAGAGTATCACTTAGCAACGATGATAATTGTATCAAGACAAATTCCATCGCCAAATTCTCTATCTTTGTTCATCCTCACGTTGGCTGTCATGTACTTCGTCTGGACCTCTACATCCCGACGCCGCCTCTCCGCCACCAAGGGCGCCGTCGCATCAATGTCTTCGGTCTGGATTTCATATGGCCACCTGGAGTCTATCGCGCGCTGCACTGTGTCCTCCTCATCACCTGCCAAACAAAATACAAACACCACCAAAATAAGAACCCTAGAAAAAATTATTTAAACTTCTAGGTTAGTTTAAAAGCAAAACGACCGAAAACATAAGAACTCACGTCGCACGAACCATACAACTAAAAGGTTGCAAGAATTTTTTAAGAAAAAACGCAGTCACTAAACCCCCAATTGATTTGACAAAGATAAAACGACGGTGTAAGAAACCCTTTCGGGAGGAGAGAAAAAGAAGGTGACTAATCTTGCAAACCACGATAGAAACTCGAGAAATTCGACAGAAACGTCGAGAAGGAAAGAGTAGGAAAGATGCTCATAATGAGAAACATAGGGGGAGAGAGATTTCAGCCGCAAGAATTGGGGAAAGAGAGTAGAGATCCTTTAAAGGGTCGGACGAATGGTCGGGAATTAATCCCTAAAATCCAACGGTCGAAAAATGACTTTGCCAAAACCAGTGACGTGGCTTCATACAAATAAGGCACTTTTATAAATAAGACTAGCAATCTCTCGCCCATAACACTTTAAAGTATTTATGTTTGAAGGTGATACAATCATATTTTAATCAAGTGGATCGAAAATTGCTTTAAATAATGATTATTGAAAAAGAATTTATACTCACAAGCGCACCTAAAAACATTGATAAAATGAATAAATTATATAACAAAAAGTTGAACCCATGTATGACTATTAAACCACAATTTTTAGTTTCCAAAATCAAATTGATCAAACATTGTTTATGTGATGACCAATTTATCGTAAAACCCACCATGCTTATTAATTGGTTTAAAAACTATTTGTTTTACTTGTGTAATTAGTTTGACCACAAGGGGCCGCCATTTATCTCAAATTTCAGCATATA